TGGTGGGGGTGGGGGCGGTGTTTCTTTGCATTCATGATCAGGGAAGCAGAGTTTCATTCATTTGGGTCAGACTTCCTCTCCTAACAGCCAAGATGAGACAAGAAGGAACAAAAACGTAGGGTCAATTATTTGGGGGTGGAGAGGACATGTAGCAATGAGGCCACTGGGGACTTTTTACATTGCCAGGCCCTGAAATTCTCGGTTTTACTATGCTGCAAGAGGAGCCCCACATTAGCAATGATTTCTTGGAGGAAAGGTGCTGAGCCCTTTCATTTATTAACCTCTGCCTTACAATTTCAGATAGCTTTGTGAGTATCTAGAAGTGGGATGGCCTGGTATAAGTACAGGAGGGATCAAGACAATTATTCAAGAGCGATTGCAGGACTATGGTTAAAAGAATGAAAATCCCAGCACCAAAAAAGAGAAGCTCTGAATCTTTGGAACATAGATGTAAATGCCCATTGGGTAAAATGAGGGGAGTTGATGGGTCACTGGAGTCCCGACGTCTCTGGAAGCCGGCAAGCCCAGAGCACAGCTGGGAGACAGCAGGATGGCGGACTGGGCAGGCGCCACTCTCTTGCTCTGTAAGTTCTGATCTTCCTGCTTCCCTCCCTCGTCATCATCAGACCTGGTCTTAACTGTATTGATGAGGTCTGTGCTCACAGCATAAGCCCAAGAGGAAGAGGAAAATTAACAACCATCTCAGGCCAATATGACCTCACAATTGCCTCCCTTCTTCCATTTGTACTTTTCCCATACATAAAAACACAATGCCCATTGGAAAGATTTGAAAAACAGAGAAAGGGGCAAAAAGGAAAGAATCTTCTTATAATCCCAGTGTCTGTTACCCCTCCACTAGAGCCAGAGGCTGCTTGTCTTGTTCACCAAGCTCCGTCTCCAGAACCAGAAGAGTAACTGGTACAAGTAGGGGCTCAATAGAATTCTCTTTTTTCAATGAATCAATGCATACTCTGAGATCACATCTTAATATCTCATTACACGTTGTCCTATATCTCAAAGAATGTGTTTTAAATAAACCCATGGATTCAGTTTTTTTTTTTTCTATGCATTTTCTATTGTGGCAAAATATACTTAACATAAAAGTCACCATTTCAGCCACTTTCAAGTGTGTAATTCAGTGGCAGTGTTTCATCACGATGTTGTGCAACCATTGCCACTATCCATTTCCAGAACTTTTTTTGGAAAAAGAAACTGAAATTCTGTACCCACCAAAACTGAAACTGTGCCCACCAAATAATAATTCTCCATTCCTGCTTTTCCCTCAACCCCTGGTAACCTCTATTCTACTTGCTGCCTCGAACAATTTGCCTATTTTAGGTACCTTCTATAAGTGGAATCATGGAGTATTTGTCCTTTTGTGTCTCACCTACTTCACTTAGATAATGGAATGTTCTCAAGTTTCACTCATGTTGTCACATATAGTGCCATTTAATTCCTTTTAAAGGCTAAAAAATGGCTGGACACAGTGGTTCACACCTGTAATCCCAGCCCTTTGGGAGACAGAGGCGGGTGGATCACCTGAGGATCACTGAGGCCAGTGGATCAGGGGTTTGAGACCAGTCTGGCCAACATGGCGAAACCCCATCTCTATTAAAAAGGCAAAAATTAGCCAGGTGTAGTGGTGCACACCTATAATCCCGGCTACTCAGGAGGCTGAGGCAGGGAGAACTGCTTGAATCTGGGAAGCAAAAGTTGCAGTGAGCCAAGATCTCACCACTGCACTCCAGCCTGGGCAACAAGAATGATACTCCATCAAAAATAAAATAAAATAAAAATTATTCCATTTCATGTATGTCAATGCTACATGTTGTTTCTCACCCATCCGCTGATAAGCATTTGGGCTGTTTCCATTGCATATACTTTGCATCTCCTTCTTTCACTTTATAATTATGAGCATTTCTCCATTTTATTAAGTTGCCTTCGGGAAACATTTCCTCTGATTGAGTGCCACCTCTTACTATAGGTGGACACAGTAATCTAATCGTGTGTGTGTGTGTGTGTGTGTGTGTGTGTGTGTGTGTGTGTGTGTATGTGCATGTGTGGACATTTAGGTGATTTCAAACTTTTGCCATGGCAAATAAGGCTGCAGCACCCTCAGACATAAAACTTTAGCCAAGTGTGTGATCAATATTATCTTCAAAGGATAGATTCCTAGAAGGTGAAACACTGTGATGGAGGATGTGAAATTCTAAACATCTCCATGTTTTCTTGCCAATTTGCTTGTCAACTGGCTTTCCAGACAGGTTGTACCTACGTGCACTCTTCTGCATGTGCATAAGAAAATTAGTTTACCACACTCTTGCCAACATGGAGTGTTATCATTTAAGATGTCTTTGCTAATTTGATTGATGGAAAACGGTGTCCTGTTGATTTAATTTGCTTTAGATTAGTTACTTGACCTTCCTCTAGGATAACTCCTATCTGTGGTCCTTTTAATTTTCCCATAAACTTTAGAGTCACCTGGTCAACTACCACAAAAATAAACCTGGAACTTATTTTGTTTTATGTTTGTTTGTTTGTTTTTCGGGACGGAGTCTCGAACTGTTACCCAGGCTGGAGTACAATAGTGTGATCTCAGCTCACTGCAACCTCTGCCTCCCGGGTTCAAGAGATTCTCCTGCCTCGCCCTCCTGAGTAGCTGGGATTATAGGTGCCCGCCACCACACCCAGCTAATTTTTGTATTTTTAGTAGAGACGTGATTTTACCATGTTGGCCAGGCTGGTCTCAAACTCCTGACCTCAAGTGATCAGCCCACCTCAGCCTCCCAAAGTGCTGAGATTACAGGTGTGAGCCACCATGCTTGGCCTGGAACTTCTTTTGAATATATAGATTAATTCACAGAGCTTGACATATTCAATATTATAATATAGAAGCTACTAATCCATAAACATGATGTAACTTTTCACTTATTATGTTTTAAAATGTCTCTTAATAATATTTTTACAGTTTTACTGAGGATGTCTTGCAAGTCTTTATTTAGGTTTTTTTTTTTTACATTGTTCATTATTGGTTTTATGCTATTATAAAAGGTATAATTGATTTTTTTATAATTTTGCTTGTTGTTGAGATAAAAAAGTACGGTTGGTTTTTGCATCTGTATATCCAGCAAGCTTGCTAAACTTAAATGTAGTAGTTCATCTGTAGGTTCTTTGGGATTTTTTTCTTCTTGTTCTTCTTCTTTTTTTGGCAGGGTTTCCTTCTGTCACCCAGGCTGGAGTATGGTGACATGATCACGGCCTACTGCAACCTCAAGTGATCCTCCTGCCTCAGCCTCCTGAGTAGCTGAACTATGGGAGTGCCGTGAAGCCTGTATTTTTTCATTGTTTGTTTGTTTTTAATTTTCTGTAAAGATAGGGGTCTCCTTATGTTGCCCAGGCTGGTCTTGAACTCCTAACCTCAAGAGAGCCTCCTGCCTCAGCCTCCCAAAGTGCTGGGATTATAGATGTGAGCCACCATGCCCAGCGGATTTTCTATGAATATCTCTAAATTGCCTATAAATAGGACAGGTTTAGTCCTTGCGTTCACATTCTTATGCTTCCTTGCTTCCTCTTGCTTATCAGATTGGCCAGGGCGCTCCTGTCTAGTCTCAATTTCAGAGGGAAAGTTTTTTAACATTTAATCAAAATGTTTACGTACAATTTTTGTTGGTACATTTTATCAGATTCGAGCAGTTCTATTCATATTTGCTAAAAGATCTAATGATAAATGTATGTTGAATTTTGTCAAATTCCCTTTCAGCATTTATCTAGGAGTATTATGTTTTCTCCTTTTCTTCTGTTAATGAGATGAATTTTACTGTTTTCAAATGTTTAACTGTTCTTACTCTTGAAACAGGCCAATTTTGTCACAATGTTTTCACCTTTTTAGACATTGCTGTTTTAGTTTTGCAAGAATGATGACAACAATAACAAACTATGGGCCGGGCATGGGGGCTAGTTCTTTGAAAAGACTAGCAAAGTCGTAAGTCCCTGCTGGGATGGATCAACGAAAAGAGGAGAGAGAGAAAAAAAAAATCACACACACACACACACACATATATATATATATATATTTTATATATATATATATTTTATATATATATATGTTTTATATATATATATATTCTTTTTTGCCTTTTTTTTTTTTTTTTTTTGAGATGGAGCTTTGTTCTTCTTGCCCAGGCTGGAGTGCAATGGTGCAGTCTTGGCTCACTACAACCTCTGCCTCCTGGGTTCAAGCAATTCTCCTGCCTCAGCCTCCTGAGTAGCTGGGATTACTGGCATGTGCCACCACACCTGGCTAATTTTGTATTTTTAGTAGAGGCAGGGTTTCTCCCTGTTGGTCAGGCTGGTCTCGAACTCCCAACCTCAGGTGATCCCCACCCCTTGCCTCGTCCTCCCAAAGTGCTGGGATTACAGGCTTGAGCCACCGCGTCTGGCCTATATATTTGTTTTCTATTCCATTTAATTTTCCTCTTTTATGCTTTCTCTTTTTTATCTTTTACTATCTTTGAGTTTAACTTGATATTTTTCTAACTTTTGGAGACAGGTGCTGGAATATTTTATAATACATAAACAATGAAAACATATATATTTATGTAGGTTTTTATGCACAGCTCCTGTCTTATAACTCCCATGGCTCTTGTCACAGTCTTGTAATAATGTTGTGGAACTTTAGGCCTCAGAAGCAGGACTCAGGAAACAAAACCTCTCTCTTTCTCTGACCTTCACCTGCCCTCCTTTCACTTGCCCAAAGCAGGGCTCAGGTATTCCCCTACCTTTCTGATTGTGCGTCGTAAGACCATCATTTCAGAAGGGGTCCTGCCCCACACGCTGGAAGAATGTATGCCGCACAGAGACCAAGAAGAATCTGAACAGGTCAGGCCTTGCTGGGCGTCCCCACTCAGTCTATTATTAGATCTGACCTTTTTCGTCCAGTCACGTATCTACATGGTTGTCCAGCATGCCTTCCCAGTGAAGTCCCCATAAAAGGCCCAAGAGGATAGGGTACAGAGAGCTTTCGCGATGGCCAGGCATGTGGAGGTTCCTGTAGGAGTTGCAGCCTGGAAAGGCATGGAAGCTCTTTGTCCCTTCCCCCATGCCTCGCCCCATGCATCTTTTTATCAGTGCCTTTTGTAACATCCTTTATATTACACTGGTAAAGTTACGTGTTTTTCGGAGTTCTCTGGGAGAAAATTAATCAAATTCAGAGAGGGAGTTGTGGGAACTCCAACCTGAAGTTCATTGGTCAGCAGTTCCTGAGGCCCAGACTTTCGACTGGTGCCTGAGGTGGGAGCAGTCTCGGGGACTTCGCTTCAGCCCATGGGATCTGACTCTCTCCAGGTAGGTAATGCTGGAGTGGAATTGGGAGACACTCAGCTGGGGTGTTGGCTGCAGAATTGCTTGCTTGCTTGGTGTTTGGGGAGAAACCCCCACATTTGATCACAGAAGTCTTCTGTGTTGATTGTTGTCATACAGTGAAAGAACAGCAATAAAGCACTTTGAGTGGTTTTTTTGTTGTTGTTGTTGATTTTTTTTTTTTTTTTTTTTTTTTTTTTTTTTTTTTTTGAGACAGAGTCTCGCTCTGTTGCCAGGCTGGAGTGCAGTGGCACAGTCTTGGCTCACTGCAAACTCTGCCTCCCAGGTTCAAGTGATTCTCCTGCCTCAGCCTCCAGAGTAGCTGGGACTACAGGCATGTGCTACCACGCTAGGCCAATTTTTATATTTTTAGTAGATACAGGTTTCACCATGTTGGTCAGAATTGTATCAATCTCTTGGTCTCATGATCTTCCCGCCTCAGCCTCCCAAAGTGCTGGGATCACAGGTGTGAGCCACTGCGCCCTGCCTTGAGTGTGTTTTTTCCACTCTCAGAGACGCTTACGTTATTGTTTATTCAGCCTTTTTTTATTTTTTTATTGTGTGCACTGTAAGGGTATAAATTTTACTCTGTGGCTTTAGCCACTCATTATCAACATCCTTTGTAATATTTTTATTTTCATTCTACTAAAATATGTTCTAATATCCATTGCTTTTTCTTCTTTGATTTATGGATAATTTAAAGGATATTTAAAGGATAATTCTTAATTTTCACACATGGAGGGATCTTCAAATTATCTTCTTATAATCTATTTATAATGTAATTCTCCAATTGGCAGACAACAAACCATTTTATTTCAGGCCTTTGATATTTGCTGAGATTAAATTTAGAATCAGCATGTGATCATTTTTATAAATACTCCAAGTGTATTTTTAAAATAATTCTGTAGCATCAGGTGAAATAGTCTTCATATGTCAAGTAGATCAAGTTTGTTAATTGTGAAGTTAAAATCTATTCTTTTCTTTTAAAAAATATTTATTTGAATTTTTAATTAATTAGGTATTTTTTTCGTGATGGGGTCTTGCTCTATTACTCAGGTGAGATCATAGTTCGCTGCAGCCTCAAACTCCTGGGCTCAAGCAATCCTCCTACCCTAGCCTCCCAAGCAGCTGAAACTGCAGGTGTGTACCAGTGCACCAAGCTAATTTTATTTTTTGTCTTGTTTCATAGCCCAGGCTGGTCTCAAACTCCTGGGTTCAAGCAATCCTCCCACCTTGGCCTCCCACAGTGCTGGGATTACAGGTGTGATCCACTGCACCTGGTTTTTCTTTTGTTTTTGTCTTCTTAATGAGAGAGGTATATTAAAACCTCCCACTATTATTGTAGAATTATTCATTTTGTCCCATCATAAGGTAAATTTTTGTCTATGTTAAATTTTGTCTATGTTAAATTAAAAGCTCCCACTATTACTGTAGAATTACTCATTTGGTCCCATCGTAAGGTTAATTTTTGTCTAATTTACCAGAAAGATATAATAATTATTTAAATGTATGCATCTAATAACATAGCTGCATACATTTGAATAATTATTATATATTTCCGGTAAATTAAATTATATATTATAATGAAATATTCCTATAGATTTCCAGTAATTATTTTTGCCTTTATCTACCGCATTAACTTGTTTCTTCAAATGTCTGATTATCTTTCAATGAGTGCCGGACATTGTATATAAAAAATTGCAGAGAGAAACTGCAGCCTAAGATGATATCTTTCAACGAAGAGGAAAATTTTTTCTTCTTGTTAGTAGTTACGGATTCTAGCAATCCCAGGCAACCTGAGTCTAATCAGAGATTCAGATGACTTGAACCTGACTCTAGTCTCTGAGAAGGTCAGCCCACTTATAGTTTACTCTTAGTCCTAGAGTGTAGTCTTACAGCCTTTCCAAAGCTTAGGGGGATTGCTGGAATCTCCATCTCTGGTAGTGTACGATCTCTAGGTATTTCATTCAAGTGTCACGAGCTTTTGGTGTCTCTGCTGAGCTTCTCAGCCTCTCATCTGCCTCTATAGAAAGCTCCAGGGATCCTAATCTCTCTGTGTTTCCTTCTTTTCTAAGAGAAAGTCTACTTTCTCTTGTATTAATGTGATAACCTTGGCTTTTTGGGGTTAATGTTTGCATGATTTATTTTTTTTATTTCCTTGAATTCTGTATCTTATCTTTATGGTGTGTCTTCTGCAAGGAGTAGTCGTTTTTTAAATCCAGATCAACTACCTTGCCATTTGCTTTTTACTATTATACTGAGCTGGGTGGTATTCTACTGTGCTGATACTCCACAATTTGTTTATGAATTCACCGTTTCATGGACACAGGAAGTGCTGTGTCACATGGTAATGTATGCTTAGCTTTTTAAGAAACTACCACATTGCTTTCCAAAGTGATTCTGCCATGTATTTTGCTTTGTATATATTTAAGCCTCCAAGTATTTTATTATGATAATTTAATCATCGATATTCACTTATAGTTTCCTGTGTGATTACCTTTTGGTTTTTTTCTTCCTTCTTTTCTGCATCTCTGAGCTGCCATCTGGGATCACTTTCTTTCTGCCTGAAGATCTTTTGCTGTTTTCATTAGTGCTGGTCTGCTACTGCTGAATTCTCTTATCTGAAAATGTATTTAACTTACATTTTAAAAGACATTTTGGATGAAACAGAGATTACGATGACTTCCTTTCGGCATTTTGAAGATATCATTCCATTGTTTCCCAGCCTCATTGGTTCTGTTGGAATGTTAGCTGTCAGTCTTATTGCTGCTAACTTGAAGCTTATTTTTCTTCTTTTGTTAGTTAATTCTAAGGTAATTTTGTCTTTGGTTTTCAGCATTTGTGCTATGGTGTGCAAAACTGTCATTTTCTTTACATTTACTTTCTTGGTTTTGCGATGCTTCCTGAATCCAGTTTGGTATTGCCCACCCATTTTGGAAAAGTCCCAACTGTTAACTTGACAAATAAACCTTCTGCCTAATTCTCCCCTTCTTCTCCCCTGAACACCAAGTTACTCATATTTTAAAACATTTTACTGAATCCTCTGTTTCTTAGCCTCTTTTCTTCATTGATTATTAGGTTTTATAAATCTCCCTGTGCTTTTTATTTTATTTTATTTTGTTTTTTAAGATGGGGTTTCACCATGATGGCCAGGCTGGTCTTGAACTCCTGACCTCAGGTGATCCACCCACCTCAGCCTCCCAAAGTGCTAGGATTACAGGCGTGAGCCACCGTGCCTGGCCAAAATCTCTCTGTGCTTTTATTCTGGATATTTCTTACTGACCTTTCAGTTCAGTTGTTAAACTTGTTATAGAGGTTTTTCTCTTTGAGAAATTTCATTTAAAACTTATTTCCAGTTTCTACATAAATTCTAAACCTGGTATTTTATTTCAGTGAACATATTAAGTACAGGTATTTTAAGGTCTGTGTAACCAATTACTTAGATTCTTGTAATCCATTTTTATTGTCTATTTTTCCCTTAGTTATCTACCACATTAACTTGTTTCTTCAAATGTCTGATTATCTTTAATGAGTGCCAGATATTGTATATAAAAAATTGTAGTGATAAATTCAAGTCTAAGATGGTATCTTTCAATAAAGAGGGAAATTTTTTCTTCTTGTTATTCATTAAGGATTCTAGCAATCCCAGATTGCTATATACACACAAGTCATTAAAATGAGGCCAAAATACGAGTGAAAATGCATAAACTGCACTCTCAAAACGGGATAAATTTTTCAAACTCTGACTTTGTGCCTCAGGACATCTCCTCTACCGGTTTCCTTTCATTTATTATTGTGAAATGATTTGATGCAACATCCATTGTATTGATCCAGAAATCCTGCTCAAGAACAATTGGTTGATTCATATGTTTTGCCTTCCATCAGGTTGAGTTCTGTAGCACCTGTAGAGCTCCTGTCTCTCAGGTTTGCACTGCCCTTCTGTGCTCTGCTTGTCACGCTGGGGCTGGGACTCTGTGTACCTCCTTTGCCTCCCAGCTCCCTCTTGGATTCTGCCAACCAGAAGCATTAGAGTAAAAACAGCAGGTGGCAGGAAGGGAGAGGGATCTGCCCCTTGGAGCTTCTTGTAAGTTTCCTGTCTGTTTCCTGCCTAGCCAGCAATGCTTCCCACCCCACTACCAGCCCTCACAGCACGCACCTCCACAGCCGCACTTCATTGCGGATGCAGAAGTTTGCAGTTCTCCCCACCTTCAGAGAACCTGCCTCATTGGCCCCTCCAGAGACCCCAGCACTAACCACTGGCAACTTGCCCTCAGAGGTCTGGTTTTTTGCCCTGTGAGGTCCCATTTTAAAGGCTCCATGTTTTATACATTCCAATATCTCTTCATGACTTCAACCCTGGGGAAGGTTGTAGCTTCCTGCAGTTGCTGATTCAGTCCATAAATTATGGCACCTTAGGGTCCTGTTTTTGCCTGTTAGTTACTCTAATAGAATAACGGTCCTCTGAAGAGGCCTACATCCTAATTTCCCAAACCTGGGGATAGCTTGTTAGATGGCAAGAGGGACTCTGCAGGTATGATTAAGTTAGCAACGGAGGGATGGGAAGATGACCCAGAATCATCTGCATGGGCCCAATGGAATCACAAGGATCCTTATGAGAGGGAGGCAGCAGGGCCAGAGTCAGAGAAGGAGGCGCGGCAGGGGAAACAGGCTGGAGCGAGGGGGGCCATGCCACAGGAAGTGCAGTTGGCCTCTAGAAGCTGGGAAAGGCAAGGAAACAGACTGTCCTCTAGGGCCTCCAGAAGAGAGACAATTTGGCAGCACCTCGATTTAGCCCAGTGAAATGATCTCAGATACCTAACCTCTGGAACTGAAGGATAACAGGTTTGTGTTGTCTTAAGTCACTAAATTAGTGGTCATTGTTACAGCAGCAATAGGGAACCAGCATTCACCTGGTTAATAATACTTTAGATCAAATTCTCCCTGCTAGATTAACTGCTGTGGTTTGTTCTCCTGACTTGACCCTA